AAGCTCACTGGACAGTGAATTAAGAAAGAAAAGAACGAAATAGAAAAGGGCTTTCTTTTGGAAGTTACTATATTATAATGCAAGATTATTCTTCCATTGAAAAAAATAAAGAGGGGAGACTGTTGGTCCATACAAATAATCCCTGGCTCTGGACAGAAAATGAGAGAAAAACAGGCAACCGTGAATCCTGCTCACCGGTGACATTAATACATATGACATTTACACACAGTCACATATACTCCACCAAGGAAAATCAAGCTTCTCTGGTCCCCCCCCCCCCGCCCCTTAACTCCTACCAACAGCAATTAGGATTGGGGAGTGGGGAGAGAAAATGAATACGAAAATGCAAAAGCTGTTGAGAACCTCTCACTGGCAACATAACCCTGCCATGCCAGAGGAAGGTAGGTACTGAAGGCCCAGGCTGAATGGGCTGAAATGTTCATGGGTTCAGTGAGTAAAATGTGTGTGCTGTGTTTAAGGATGTAATGGGCTCTGATGAAGATTCTTAGAATCTAATAATGGCCTCTTTGGACTTCTTGTCTAATTAGTGGAATAAGGAGAGAGCCAGCTTGGAGCTGAACGTTGTTGCCCAAGATGAGGGAAAAAGGGATGGGGTTGGGGGAGGAGACAAAGCTGGAAGAAAAAGAAACCGGAGTGAAACAGAAGGAAAAGAACAGCCAGAGCTTTCCAAGCCATCCTCCTGAGCTGACAACTGGAGTTTATGCCTTGAAATATATGATAATAAGGTTTTATGGGAGTGAGCCCCAGGGACCTGAATGTCTCTCTGTAAACAACAGACTTCAGGGAAAAGCCAGGGTTTGAGTAATGTACTCAGTCTTGACTCATGATAAAAAAAAAAGGCAGAAAGCACTGGAGACAGGATATAATTCCCTTTATTCTAACTGTAGAGGCCCGAGTTGCAGGAAATGCCCTTTGAGGGCAAAGCCGATCGAACACCACTGTAGAAATACAGTCTGCTGGTGTGTAGACAGCGAGCTGGAGCTGCTGCAGTCTCAAAAACCTGAGGTCGCACGGGCAGAAGCCGGTTCAGTGTCGCCTGCCACCCTTAATGCACGGACGATGGATGCCTGGAAACCAAATGGTTTGTCTCCAGTGTGGCTGAGTGGCATTGCTGGAGGGACACAGAGTGACTTTATCCTTGAGGCGTGCGCTGTTTATTGCCCCCCTCCCCTGCAAAGGGTTAAATCTGAAAGGGCCCTTGTTCCCAGAGGACTACATTTCAGGCCCAGGGTACCTAGAGGATACCGCCAACTACATAGCAGGGAGGACGGTTTCCTTTGGAAACCAGGGTCAGGTAGAGCTCAAAGCTAGCCTTAAGCAAGTACTAAATGATCAAAATCCCCAGTGTACTGTGAGACAGAATCAGGTTGCCTTTAAAATTCTTCATCCTCAAAGACAATGGCTCTGTCCTCTCTCTCTTTTTAAAATAAACATGAGGTCATGGGACAGTAAAGTACAGCTTCTATTGGCATTAGTTCCACCTTATATATTAAAAAGGTATTGTGTCCAATCCCTCCAGGTCCAGGATCATAAGGGACCCTGTTTCTTGGTGGGAGGCAGTAATGTGAAAAGGTTACTTAGTCATCACTAGCCTCTAGCCATGCTGGAACACCACACATGGGGCTCCTCAACACAGGAAGTCAAAGCGAGGCCTGACCCCTGGATGAACTCAACGCATTTTCGGGCAAGGGGCCTGATGAATCTCTAGGGACAGAGCTCCTCTGTGCCTGTGTCTGTGTATTCGAGTTTACCCCTCCGTGTGCATGTGTGGAGGTGGGTGGTATTGACAGGGAGGAGGGTGTGAAGGGCCTGGATAATTATGAAAATTAGATCTTTTCCAGCAGGCTTCAAGCTCAATTTGGGCTGACAGCTCATGAACAGATCATCTGAAGTCTTAATAGGCCAACGCTGGCTCAGTAGTTGGGTGGTTAAACCCTGCACATTTGTGTCACAGCTGACATCGAAAGCAGCCCCAGATGCCTCCGATGGATGACGCAGATGAGCCTATGCTTAACATCCTTCCTCTCCAGGGAGGGCCCCACAGGCACAACAAAACAAATCTCAACTCACACTTAGAACTTTCGCCTGCCAAAGAAACATTCCAGAGTTCTTTTCACAATCAGATACCCAGTCGCAGAAACAGCACACGATTAATGAGGCAGTTTAAGAGATATTTAATATTGACATTTCCGAAATATTTCTGAATCCATCAATAAAAAATACATTCAAATGGTTTCTATTTCAAAACCAATTGGCTAGAAAAAACTGAGAGGTTTTTTTTCTTTCATTCTTTCTGCTTTTTGTGACTTGTCCCCAAAGTTCAGACTCTGCTGCCTTCTACATGTTGGTGGTCGATCTGCAGAAATGTCAAGGCTTCAAGGTTCCTGACACATCCTGAATTCTGGAAGAATGTGCTTCCCGAATATTCCTGATAATGGCCTGAGGACCACAGGGGTCAGTGGGCTGGGGAAGCCAGCATTTCCTGCTGGGAGGAGAACTGTGCCAGACACCTTAGAAGCAGTTTCTCACTATTCTCTGCATTTGCACTCTCTGCTTCTCCTTGAAGTCTCATATAGGGGAAAGAATAAACCAGCATCAGTAACCTGCTTGGCATCTGGCTTTCAGTGAAAGGCTCATCTGCCTCACCCCTCGGGCTTCTTTAACTGAATTAGCTGTATTAAGTGCCTTGGTAGCCCAGGGAATGAAGGAGGTGATCAGTGCCTGGGAAGGCATGTTAGCGGGGTATAATTCTGCCGGAGGAGAATGGACTCCCCGGCACATGGGCCTAAACTGCAGAGTAGCAAGGCCCTAAATCTCTGGTTGCAGATTTACAGCCTCCATTCTCCTTCTTTACTGCAAATACAATCCGGCAGTAATGGTCTAACACAGCAACACCATCACCGACCGGCTGATGGCTCGCATAAAAGCAATGTCAACCAAAAACTATGAGTTTATAAAAGGGAACAAACCCTCAACAGTGACAAGAACATGAAACCTATTAACAATTTAAACACTCTTCATTTTTTATATCCCACCTTGAAGCTATTATTGCTGATAGAAAGCTGCTCGGTGGAGTTAACCACTGCAAGGAAGGGTTAGGAGTCAGCTTAACTCTGAAGAGAAGAGGTGACATGGCTCGAATCATTTGATGCTGTGGTCAGAACCGTTGTTATTAGAAGCACTGCTTGATAACCTGTAACTCAAGAGAGAGTCTCAGGAAGGTGCAGGTGTGGTCTGTTTACACTCCGTTCTCAGGAAGTGCATTGGGTAAACACGGAACTGGGCTCACTGGTCTATTCAACACTACAAGGCATGGGCCTACACTTTGGAAACAACCTTAGCATATGTATTAGAGGAACTCATGGAGGTAAAATTAAGGCAGCTCTTGCATTATAGCATTCAGTGTTCACATGAGGCTCTGACTGCAGTGACAGTACTCAGGCCTTGAAGGGACGTTACTACTAGAGAGTCCCACTTTGAGAATCACCTCTACCTGGTCTTTACTGTAAGGTGTAACTTGTCACACACTATTACCTCCCAGTCTTTAGGTCACCAGATACAGAACTGTAAATAATCCATACAATTAACTGCAGTGTCTCCATTTAAAAATTTTAAATACTACTGCCGAATTCTCTGGAGATGCTCCCCTGGTAAAAATGAAGATAGGATCTTGTAGCTTTGGCTGTCCTGGAACTTGCTTTGTAAACCAGGCTGGCCTCCAACTCACAGAGATCTAAGTATCTCTGTTCCTAAGTGCTGGGGTTAAAGGTGTGTGCCACCACCTCCTGGCTAAAGATAGGATCTAAAAGGAGACACAGAAGCTTATTACTGGATGATTTACCCCTAAACAAAAGTTTCCCCTTTCTGTTCTGTAAATCAGACAAACTAATGGCAACAGAAAAGTTGTCCCTCTGTAATTCTGAACTCTGTGTGTGTGTGTGTGTGAGAGAGAGAGACAGAGAGACAGAGAGAGACAGAGACAGAGACACAGAGACACAAAGAGACACAGAGAGAGAATAAAGTTTGACAAACAGTTCATGTTTTAGACACAGGATTTTAAAAAAGAAAGAAATCTGGTTTTACTAAGGAGAAAAAAAATCCAGATTTAATAGATTCATAGATACCCATTCAGACAGTGCCACTGGAGTTAAAATCCTTGATTTACATATATTGTATCAATTATTTGAAAAATTCAATATAAAATTTCACCTATACTAATGGATCTATGGGAATCAAGAACAAAACCAAGGAAATATTCTGCAGTAAAATACCATTAATATATAGAAAACATGGTTTCAGCAATGTGTGAGCTGTTGTACTGTAAGACAGTTCTTAAAGTTTTGGCACTTTCAAAAATGAATGATTGTAGACTTTCTTAACCTGGACTGCCATAAGGAAGGGGATCATATCACCATGCTTATGTTACATGACACAACAGTTTTGATCTGAGCAGACACTGCGTTGGTTGGCTTTAAGGGTCTCCTTCTGTAGGAGAAGGAAAAAAAGCTGAGAGGCAGGAACATATAAAATCTAAATGAAAAACAGGAAGCAAGGAACTAACTAAATGAAAGTTATTTTTCTCCCCAGCAGGCAAGAAGTCGAGCTGGCATCACTCTAGTAGAATAGGGTCAGACAATGCTTAGCCTAATGGCCCACAGTGACCAGAACTAATATGCCTGAGCTTTCACAGTGGTTAGCAGTTAAGGAGGTAGCAAGAAGGCAGCAGGATGCTGGGGCTGCTTTCCTGGACCTATACAATCAACGCCAACGAAGCCTTTCTGCAGCTTGAGTCATAACCATAAATACTGCCCCATCCCCACATTCCAGTAACAAAGTCTTTCCTTCCTCCTCACTCTGAAACAAAGGGGACAACAGCGCTGTTGGGTGGGAACATCTTGAAATAAGCTATCATCCCCCAAATGGAAGGAAGTCACAGGGGAGACTGACGCCATAAAGGCAGGCCTATCCTATTGAAACCAGCAGATGGGGTCATAAACACTTCCTTCTCCTCCTAACAGCCACCAGGCAGCTTCGTCCTTAGCGGTAGCTTCCTGTCAGGTCATAAATACCTCTCACTCAAGCCTCACTCACAGCTGGGCCTTGCCAGGCACGTTTACTTCCTGTTAAGGGTTCACTGCGGCCAACAGACGTGGACCGGGAGGAGAAAGGAAGACGCTGCTGATGGCAGGTACTCGAGGAAGCCTGGGAACCCCAAAGAAGGGGTTTGGCTGGACCAAATGCTTAGCAACAGCCAGGAAGATGCACTTAAGAGGAAGATGCTGCCCCAGGAGACACAGTTCAGGGAATTTGTTTAAGATTACACACACAAACACAGGAAAAGAGCTGAAGAGTGTTGTGGGATTTTGTGCTTTTTACTACCGCAGCGTTTCTCAAGCGGTGGGTTGAGGCCCCTTTGGGGAATCACGTATCAGATATTGTACATTGGGATTCATAACGATAGCAAAAATATAGTTATGAAGTAGCAACGAAATAATTTTATGGTTGGGGGTCACCACAACATGAGGAACTGTATTAAAGGGTCGCAGCGTTAGGAAGTTTGAGAACCATTGATCTAGAGTGACCCTCAAGGGTATGTGGGTTCCTCTCATTTGCCTTTGGTTCTGGATCCTGTACCCTAAGCACAAATAGTGGGAAAGGAAGAATGTGGGCGTGGTTCCCACATAAAGGCCTTTGCTTGTGCCAGAGCTGGAGGAAGATTGTATACTTCACTTTCAGAATCTGGGCACAGGAAGGAGGCGTGGCCCCCGGCTCCCTTCCTTCCTGGACAGCAGCTTCATTCTTGTGAGAGCGCTTGTCTGAGGGATTATTGGTAGCTCACATGGTCTAGAAGATGGTGGCTGTTGCCCTCTTCCACTTGGCTACAGTAACTGCCCCTCTTGAGTTGTAGGGATATTTACCATTTTCCAAAAAAACAAAACAAAACAAAAGGATTTTTAGCATTTATAAAACCTAACCTACAATCTGATCTTTTTTCTTTTTTCCTGAGACAGGGTTTCTCTGTATTGTTTTGGAGGCTGTCGGTCCAGCCCAGCCTCGAACTCACAGAGATCCGCCTGCCTCTGCCTCCCGAGTGCTGGGATTAAAGGCGTGCGCCACCACCGCCCGGCCTACAATCTGATCTTTAATTAAAAAAATTACTATCACATTTGATGTGTTATTTATTTATTTATTTATGGAGTGGCTGTCAGAGGACAACTTGAGGGAGCTGTTCTCTCCTCCTATGTGAGTTTCCAGGATCAAAATCAGGTTGCTCAGCAAACCCTACCTACTGAGCCATTTCACTGGCCCTTGTCTCACTATTTTTGAGACAGGCTCTTGCTATGTAGCCCACAGACCAGGCTGGCCCAGAACTTGCTGTGTAGCTCAGACTGACCTCAAACTCAAGATGATCCTCATGTTTCCATTTCCTAAGTGCTGGAACTACAAGTACTATGTCCAGCTTCTTATTTGATTTTAATTTGTTTTGCAGTGTTGAGGATTGAATCTAGGCATTATGCTTGCTAGGCAGGAATTCCACTGCTGACCTAAAGCCCCAGCTTTAAAGTATTTTCAAAAAGCAGCATATTTATAAATACTTTTTTTTTTGAGACAGGGTTTCTCTGTGTAGTCCTGGCTGTCCTGGAACTCACTCTGTAGATAAGGATGGCCTCAAATTCACAGAGATCTGCCTGCCTCTGCGTCACAAGTGCTGGCACCTTGATGAATACATTTTTTTGAGACAGGGTCTTGCTATGTAGCCCAGGCTGCCCCCTCACTCACGTCCTCCTGCCTCAGCTTCCTAAGGCTAAGATTACAGGTATACTTGTTCTACTATGCCTGGCTTTATGATCACATTTTGATAAAGCAGTTATCACTTATTTTTACTTGTTTCACTTTTTTATTATACAGAGTCACATAAGGCCATTTCCATGCAAATGTACAATGTACTTAGCATATATTTCTCTCTCTGCCCCCACCTCATACTCCAAAGACTTCTTAAGTAGTAGTGACAGTGGCAAGCTGTTGTTGATTATAAATTTAAAGTGCCTTGGCTATGCGTTGACATTGATGTGCACTAGTTTAGTTTATTTTTTTGATTTTCATGTGTGATTTTACTGGGTAGACCTAAAAAGCTTTTAAGTTAGCACATATATTAATTATGAGTTGTATCATGATAATTCTATGCATGTATATATTTGATTACAATCACCCCATTACTCTCTGTTCCCTCCTTATGTTGGTCCCCTCCTTCTTCCCAAATAGTCCCCTTTTTCTTCATGTGCTTTAAGAGAATCTCAGGTAAGTGAGATGGCTCACTAGGTAAAGGGGCTTGCTGCTAAGCCGGATGACCCAAGTTCTATCCCTGGAACTCACACAGTGGAAGGAGAGAACCAACTCCTGAAAGTTGTCCTCTGACCTCCACACTCATACCGTAGAGCATACATAGGCTCATGTTTGCACCCACCAATAAATATGAAAAAGATTTAAAAATTCAATCAGGTATGTGAGAGAGAATGTGCTATTGACTTTCTGAGTCTAGCTTATTTCACTTAACAGAGTTCCATACTTTGTGACTTTAAAGAGACAAAATAAAGACAGCAGCAAGTTTACTGTTTCTTATTATTTTTGTATCAAATTTACTATGGTAATTGTAACAAATAGGTTTGACTCCCAGCCCTGATTGACACTTTACAGTCATGTGGTTTTGAGAGAGTTACCCCTCTGTGTTTTCATGTCTTCTTCTATATACCTGCTACAGTGACAACCCCATTTCTCATGTAGCTCACTGAGAACAAAGGTCACTGTCAGGGATCTGCACACCTTTAACTTTGTGCAGAAAGAAAGGCTTAGGCAATTTAGTCACTTGAATGCTACTGAAAGCCAAAGACACTGATTATATTCTTGAGCTTAAGTTGAACCTCAGACCTCAGACTAGCTTTCCTTCACAGTTCCCTCATTCCTCCCCCTCCAAGAGTCACCCTTGCGAAACTAGAGTGGCTGGTGTTTCCTGAACACACCTTGCATTTCTCCATGCTGTCTCTTTGTAGATGTAGCCCCAGTGCTCTGGAACCTTCTGTTCCTACTTCTAGCCTCCTCTGTCTGCCAGTACAAAGGGTATCCTAGCACACATCCATTATTTCATCTTATCCTTCAGGGTCTCTTTTTGCAGTGCCTTCATGAACTGTGAGATTCTGGGCTAGAGGAGATTCATTCTTTTTTACTTAAATTTTTTTTGTGTATGAGTGTTTTGTCTGCATATATGTCAGTGCATCATGTGTGTGCTTAGTGCCCATGGAGGCCAGAAGAAGGTGTTGGACCTTCCTGGAAGTTACAGACAGTTATGAGCCATCATGGAGATGCTGGGAATCAAGCACAGGTCCTCTAGAAGAGGACAGTGGTCTTAATCACCAAGCATCTCTCCAGCCCTGGAGCAGGAAGAATTTTCAAATGGTCTGGGCTCAGGATATTGCTCAGTGGCAAAGTGCTTTGTACAAGCTAGTGTTAGTATTCAGGCATCTGTACTGGCCTGCCCTTGGGGTTCTGACAGGATACGTGCTCAGTTGCAGCCACCAAGAGCACCACCTGTGCACATTTACTACCTTCCCTTTTTAAAATGGCCTTGCCCACCCCTCTGCCTGCCTGCCTGCCTGCCTGTCTGTCTGTCTGCCTGTCTGTCTGTCTTCTGTTCCCCCTTCTCCTGCTGCTCCTGTCTCTGGAGGCCAGTCTCCCCCCTCCCCTTTCCTCTTTTTATGATCCCTTCCACTAATTAAAAAACTCCTCTGCTTGAACCCTGATGCGTGTCATCTTTCTTTTGCTCTGCTTTTCTTCAATTATAACAGCTAGAGCACCCGAGTTTGGGTCCCCAGAATCTATGCAAAAGTCTGGGCACAACAGCACACATTTGTAATCCTAGCTTTGGTGGGGCAGAGATAGTCTAGCTGGATTGGTGAGCTTCAGGCTCATTGAGGAACTCTGTCTCAAAAAAATAAGAGCAATTGAGGAAGATGCCCAGTGTCAACCTCTGGCTGCCAGCGTGTGCGTGCACACACACACACACACACACACACACACACACACACACACACACACGGACGGACGGACAGACACGGACGGACAGACAAGGGAGAGAGAGAGAGACAGACAGACAGAGAGAGAGAGACAGACAGAGAGAGAGACAGAGACAGAGAGAGAGACAGAGACAGAGAGAGACAGAGACAGAGACAGAGAGAGACAGAGAGAGTAAGTATAAAAACTTTTCCTAAGACCTGTAGAGGTAAGGCTATTTGCCCAAAGACACCAAGCTGCCGTGCTGGCCTCCCCAGGCTGTGACTTACAGCACATACCACACACCCTTCTGAGATAGTCCTTTGAGCTCACCTCAGTATCTCTCCCAGCCCCATCTTGTACTTTTGACAGAGTACTTAGAGCCTGTAACCAGGAAACACTTGGTAAATATTTGCTGAATTAAGGTGCAAATGTGAACAAAGAGGACGCTAGCCTTTCCCACCCTGTGGACTCACACTTCTCACAGCTCAGAGGTCTCTCTGAACTCACACTTCTCACAGCTCAGAGGTCTCTCTGAACTCACACTTCTCACAGCTCAGAGGTCTCCCAGCTCTCTGAACTGAACCATCAATACAAGTGCAAAATAAAAAACAAAATGGCTCTATGTCTGTAGAGCATCCTGGACAAAATATGATACACTCCCAGGAGTTCCCCTGCTTTACAAACGTCTCTGAGCACCCCCACAAGCATTTCACCACCAGGTATGCACGAGAGCGCCTGGACCCATCCTTGAGGAACAAGGTGATCAGAATCATGCCTTCAATTAACTGCAGTGTCTTGGGAAGGGAGAACTGTACACAACACAACTAGAGAGCCACTAACTAAGCACCGCAGAAGCGTGAGCCCATGATTGACATCGGATGCACAAAAAAGGCACAGAGGCTAAGGAAGTGGCAGGATGATGCCAACACCAGGGAGCGGGGTCTGGTGCTGTGTCTTTTATGGGCTTCACTTTGCAAACGAAACCCAGTGTTTCTGACTTGTCGCCCTCTGCCATTCATTTCTTTGCTCCATCATTTAGGATGGCTTCTTTTTTCCCCCATGGAAGTTTTAGTGATTGCTCTACCATTACCACAGACAGACATGGCAGTACCATCCGGGGCTTTTTTAACTTCAGTGCTTTCATCTCCTTTTCCTTCTAATGAAGTCAGGAATGAAGGAACCTGTATGCTGTCAGTGTGTACACGGGACACAGCAGCTGCCTTTCAGTTTTGCAATGTAGTTCTTCTTTGTTCCCAGAATCCCTCTGCACAAATTTCCCCAGTGATAGAAATCTGTTATAATATTGTCTTTTATCATGCTAATTATAATCTATAATTGTTATTTATTGGTTTAATTCTTTTTTTTGAGATAGGGTTTCTCTGTGTAGCTTTGTAGACCAGGCTGGCCTCGAAATCACAGAGATCCAACTGCCTCTGTCTCCCGAGTGCTGGGATTAAAGGCGTGTGTCACCACTGCCTGGCTATTGGTTTAATTTTTTATTGTCAGCTTTCCCAATAGGACACAAAATTCTATGAGGACAGGGGCCTCAGGTATCTTGTTTCTTTACAGTGGCCATTCACAAAGAGGTTACTCAAATGATCAAGAATATCAGTGGTGGCACATGTCTTTAATCCCAGCACTTGGGAGACAGAGGCAGGTGGATCTCTGTGAGTTCAAGACTAGCCTAGTCTACAGAGAAATTTCTAGGACAGCCAGGGCTTCATAGACAGACCCTTTATCAAAACAAACAAAAACACAGAAAGAACCAAAAACAACAACAACAAAAAACCCCAACCCAAACCAAAATAAAATGAAAAGGCAAAGAAGTCATAACAAAGAGAGCAAATGGACAAACCTTACCGTATAGAGTTTAGTAGCTACATTTTAATCCATTTATTATTAGTGGTATTAGTATTGGTTTTTTGAGACAAGATCTCCTATAGCCCGAACAGCCTCAAGCTCACTACTTAGCAACTAAACACACACCTAGCCCTTATTATTATTATTTTTTGAGACAGCATCCTCCTTTGTAGCTTACTCTGTCCCTGAATTCTATATAACAGAGGCTAGACTGGAACTCCTGGATTCTTCTGTCTCAGCCTCTTGAGTGCTGGGATTACAGGCATGTGCCATCACATCCATCTTTATCCTTATTCTTACAAGAAGAATGGCCCCCACAGGAACAAGTAGACCTTTTACTTTAAAAATTATAGCCAGGTGTGGTGGTGCACATCTTTAATCCCAGTATTTAGGAGGCAGAGGCAGATGGATCTCTGTGAGTTTGAGGACAGTCTGGTCTACATAGAGAGTTCCAGGACAGCCAGTGTTACACAGAGAAACCCTGTCTCAACCAAAAATATTAGTGGTACTCCTTCATTAAATAATTAGTGAACACTTTCTCTGTAAGGAGTGTGCATTAAGAACAGTAGGTAGGAACTAATGTTATGATTTTTTGGGTGAAGGTGCATGCCACCAAGCTTGACAATCTGTGTTTGACCTCTAGAGCCACATAGTGGAAAGAGAGACTTGGTCTCTGTAATTTTTTCTTTGACCTTTATTATGCATGCTCATGTACACACACACACACATATGCACACACATGCACACACACGCACGCACGTGCGCACACACACAGTACATAAATAAATGTAGAGAAGAAAGAAAAACAAAAACTGCAGGAAATGAGAAGTTTAAGATGTAATCCTTGGCCTCAGGAGGCCTTTGTGATTATAGCAATACAATAATAACATAAAACAGCAAATGAGGGACCAGAGAGAGGCCCAGCAGTTAATAGTGCAGGCTGCTCTTGTAGAGGACCAAGGTGCAACCCAAACACCCATGTGGTAGCTCATAACCATTTGTAACTGCAGTTTTAGGGCACCCAATGCCCTCTCTTGGCCTCCCTGGAGACCAGGCACACACATGGTACATAGACATACATGAAGGCAAAATATCCACATAGAAAAAAACAAATCTAAATAAAAACAAAACAAAAATCCCAGAAAAATGACAAATCCAGAGACAGTGATGAAGTTAACACGTGTTCTTAGAAGGGAGAGGGCTGGGAGGAAGCGCTGCCTGTGAGTTGTTCTGGCTGAAGATAAATTCATATCAATGAGAAGGTTCAACAGAGAACTTAAAAGAGAATCACACACCCAAAACAAGCTGCAGCATTTCCCAAGTCCAGCTTATAAAACTGAACTGGAGAATATAAATGTGTTAAGGCCCTCTAGTAGACAGTGGCTTGTCAAAGCCGAACAGTTCAATTAGACTACTGGACTGGCCCCCGTGGCGAGTTTTTAATGGCTTTATGTATGTTTAATCACATACAGTTGGTCTGGGCTCTCTCAGTGTCAGTCCCATTAGAATTTGAAAGGTCAAGTTTCCAAAGCCTAAAAAAAAGTGATTTAGACTAGAAATGCCAACTTAACCTTAACCACAGCTAAACCATGCTGTAATGGCACTGGAAATCATGCCTCATATAAAACACACTGATAAAATGAGGCTAAAACATCATCATTCTTTCCCGAGGTTATATTTTAAAAAAAAAAGTAAGATTGAAAAATCACAATTTGAATTTGGCTATGAATTATGGCTCCCTGATAGCTGTTGACACATATCGCTTATCTGGGAGCAGACAAACGCCTCGTCAGGTATAGCAGAAGTCTATGAAGACCTCAGAACACAGAAAGGGAGTCATCTACTGAAAAAAACACAGATTGGTTACAGCTCGGAGGGTGAGAGGGCACTCTATCGAGCCTCGGGAGCCCACTTGCTGGGGCCCCCGCTTTGCACCTGCACATCTGGACAGAGTCCCTTCCCTTTGCAGAACCTCCTAGCTCCCCTCCTCTTCCCTCAATGTTTGTATCTGCTCTCATTGACTGCATTTTACGTTTTATACTAAAACGAGTCTCAACTGTTCTACTCTATGGTTATTCGTGGGATCATTCTTCCCTCATTTTTTAAATTCGTCCCTCTCCCTAGCCAACCGAAAGGTCAAACACTAGCTCAAACACACAATCCTCTCCTTCTCCTAAAACAAACAAAACCAAATATTCCGGGGCATTGTTTATTTAAAATCATCATTCTTTATAATCATCTCAGTGATAGACCCCATCAAGCAGGAACTGCAGTTTCATTTTTGATAGTTCCACACCTGCAGACATAGAGGGGATTAAAAAGTGGATTAAGAAATGTCACCATAAAGCAGGCGGAGTCCCCAGGGAGAGGGCTTGGGAGACAAGTAACTTAGTGTCTATGGAAGGTGCCAAATGGCAATAAAACCAAAATGGGAAACCATGGAAATAAAATAAGTGTGCATTAAAAATATATTTGGGCCAGCTCCTCTGTGCTTGTGTTTCGTAATATTAACTGTTTAAACCTGCTTAAAATGAGAGCTCTGAGTTCTCAAAATCCTTTAATTCGGTTAAGCACCCGCCACCCTGAAAGGACTCCACGGCATCCCATAAAACATTATTTATCTGAGTGCGTTAACTGCACGATACTGTAATTTCCAGAATAAATGCTGGGTGTAAATTGTTGTTTATGTTGGATGCTGACTGTCTTTACGAGAAACAAAGTGAAAACGGAATCTTCACAGCTTTATTTCTTCCGTTAAAGTCGATTCTGCAGCAGGAAACATGCCTGGTGGAGTTTCTTAATGAACACTTATAAAGACTGTTGGTTAAAACCGAGTCTATGGAATCACCTCCAAACGCATGCCCTCTTTTAGTCTGCATTCTTTTCATTTAAATCAAGCCAAATTAAAGGGAAGTAGCACCCCTCACATGGTTACAGTTAAGGGTCTGCCAGCATTTTTATGCAAAGCCTTGTTGTAAGAAGTGTATAACTCGAACGGAATGAGAAAAAAATTAAACAAATGGAGCCAGAGCAAACAAACAACAAAAAGATGAAGCTTTAGCACAAAGGAAGGCCACCTGGAAAGGGACTGTTTTTATTCATCTCTAATGACTTTTAAAAGTCTGTCTGGGGGCGAGAGATATAGACATCCTAATGATTCAACACATTAGGTTGGGATTTTCTTGGTTTTTCTAAAATAATCATTTTCAAAAGCGTTTCAACCATAAAATTGATTAAAACATGAACTTCTCTGTGTGCCTGGGTTTCCTAGAGGACATTAGATATTACAGATTTCATTGCCCTGTCTGACCCCCACCCCCACCCCGCCACGCACAAAACACACAACGAAAATAATTCCCCTTTCTTCCAAACAGAACTCAAGTCATGGAGCAGTTAAGAGGGTCTGAAGGTCAAATGTGGATAGGACTGGGCAAAATTGTAAGATTTTTCTTCGTGAGTTGATGAACACTCAGTAATTTGAAATCTCCCAACTCCAGAGCCAGAGTCTCCATATGAGTGGGCGGTTTTTCCGTGCGCACAACGAAGTCAGTGAACGTTTCTCCCAAAGAGCAGTGATTGCACACATTTGAAAGTCCAGAATTTACCGTGCCCTCGAAGCAGCTGCTCTTACCTGATAAAAGTCAGGATGCTTCCTGAGCGATTATGACTTATCAGGTCAATGACCAACACACTATAAAATAGATTCTAACAGCCCCCAAAGGGTTGGTATAGACTCCTGAGTAAATAATATATGAGAGAGAGAGAGAGAGAGAGAGAGAGAGAGAGAGAGAGAGAGAGAGAGAGAGAGAGAGAGAGAATGACCTGGAGAGAGAATGAATGACCTGGAGACCTGGATTGTTTAGCTGTTATGGGAAGGCAAGATCCTGTGTTTTCTACAGTGTTTTTCAAGACCAAAGTCCAACTAAAGAGATGGTCATGTTGGGGGTGGGGCATAACAGCTCTAAAGGGTTTTCTGGTATTTGCCTCTCTTCTATGTAAATCGGCTACTCATTGCTACCTTTTTTGTGTTCACAGGTTCATCTGAGGAGGAAGCCGACCATCTCTGAGAAAGTCTACTCATCCTTATCATGAATGCTAAATAGAAGAGCACCATGATATCATTGTGGTACCTTGCTCTACTCAAGGACAGGGCTGCCATTCAAGATGTTCCAGTGAACTTAAAGAAATTCAAGGGGTTTTAGCATCATGACAAAAATGGTCAAAGGACTAAGATTGTGTGTGTGTGTGTGTGTGTGTGTGTGTGTGTGTGCATGCGCAGGTAGAGATGCTTATAACCAAGCTAGCATGAGGAAGGAAATTTGATCTATCTACTGTGCTTAAGACAAGTTTTCCTAATTGCATCAACTTCCCTGGAGGTTTCAGCTGCTTTACTGCAGTTTGACAGTGTCTATAGTTGGAATTGTATTTGCTTGCTGGTCTTGGAAACTGGACACAAACTGCTGCTTAGAGGTTTATTTATTTACTTAGTTTTTATTTTATTTTATTTTTATTTTGAGACAGGGTCTCTCTACATACCTTTAGCTGCTCTGGAACTGACTATGTGGAGTAGGCTGCCCTCGAACTCACAGAGATCTGCCTGCCCCTGTCTCTCGAGGGCTAGGATTAAAGGCAATTGCCATCACACCTGGGTTGCTTAGGTTTTAAGACCACAGAATGAGTAGCATCATCCCGGCTCCTAGTAGAGTCCTATCTTAGGTCCTCCAGTCGCTTCCCAGGTAGATCTTGATGTAAGCACAGGGGTTTCAGATCCTGAGCTACCCTAGCTCTCACCATGGGTGAGGGAGGCATGGGCCTTTCTCTGGAGATTCACCAGAGCAGAGTAGAAGAGAAAAAGGCCTGAGACTAAGGCTGAGGCAAGAGTGAAGTGTTCCCACAAGGCCCCGTGGGAGTCCAGTGGGTCGCTTACGCATCTAACTTTTAAAATGTTATGCAGACTAATTTTTGAAGGAGTCAGACTTGGGTTTCCAAGGCATAGCAAGAATGATAATGAAGCATGGGACGATAAGGAAGGATTCAGAGAGTTTTCCCAGGGCTGAGAATAGGGTGTTTTCTAGACAACCCACACTACATGACTCAAGACAGTGCTACCCATTTTATGAGCAATGGTTTCATTTCCCTCCAAAGTTACACAAGTGGCATTTCTTGGTGTGATTTTATAGAGATCACATAATGGTGGCCGTGCTCTCCAAGGTGATCCAAATTAGGTGTGGGTTAGGATGGCTACAAGGGACTTCTTTTAGGCATAGCTGTCAGCCCCATCTTTTCCCTCCTAACCTGGACCCTGCTGTGTTCTCTAATGTCCCTCTAATATATATCCGTGGAAGGGACCAGAGCCAATGTAGTCCCGCACTTTTCCTACATCCCTTGGAGAGATCAAGACATGCTTTAGCTGTCACCAAAGAGAGGCAAAGGAGCAGAGTTCAGATAAACTTTTGATAAAGTGTCACAGCAACCCCCTCGTCAGAAGGTAGGAAAGGTCACACAGTAAAAAAAATAATAAGAAAATATAACTGCTTTCTTATGAGGGAAATATTATGAGTTCTTCCCCTTTTCCAGCTTTTATGGAAGGAGATTCTGCCAGTTCCTTCAGAAAAAAAGAAGAAAAAGTAGTTTTAAAATGAGATTATGCACCTTCAGGGTGCCATTAGGAAGTTTTACTGTACTGAGATGACATGGAAGCTCTGGAATTAATATCCCTGAGATGCTTCAAACCTGCAATAGCAATTATTGTACTACGTGTCCCTGGATAAATAATAGGGCCATTCAACTAATTAGCTTCAATGATTTCAGCTCCCTGTAAATTCTCTCTCACTCGGCTATAAAAATACACTAGGAAAACTTTCGGTAAGAGAAAGTTCTTTTTTGGAGATGTTTTCTTTTCATTCCCCCCTTGAATTCATAATGCACAATGTGACACCCACTTCCAAGCACCAGTGTAGAACAGTATATACAAAACCAGAGCATGATCCATTGCCCCAGGCCACTATTGAACATATTGATTTACATCTTTAATTTTTGGCTTCCACAAAAAGCATAAATAAATATTTTGAGTAACCAGCTTCTTGATACACAGTGTAAGCAATATTATCTTCATGGACCCTAGGACACAAACCCCAAGTACACATATACACATATCCAAAGATAAACACAGGGATTATTTATATCCATACTCCAATACATCAAGACTATGTTATTTTACAAATTTGACAGCACGTTAGCTTCCCCGATGGTTTGCCTAGAACATTGGTTCATTCTTTTGCACTGACGGAAGACCTGCTAGATCCCAATTGGATGGGATCTTCTGTATATTGATTTGCACAAATGCAGTATCGTTCCCTCTTAAAGCAACAAAGATTCCCCTCTACTTCTGTCACCTAGAAATAACATTGAATTCTGTATTTCTGGGTGGTAAGAGTCTAAACTTCCATAATACATGCAATTCTAACACCATGATCAACGGCCTGAAAATTTTCCATATGGTTCAAGAGACCTGAACTTTTGTTAAATTTTGTGTGTTTGTTTTCCTTCTCCTTTGGGTAAGCAGTGGAGGTTTCTTCTTTTCCCTTCCTGGAAACCTCTACTCAAGAAAATGAATCTGAAGCTCCTCCCATGCACGGGCTAAGCCCCTCCTTCAAATGCCCGACGTCATCACTGAGAGGCCAAGGGAGCTGGTGGGAGGGGCTGTAGAAGATGCTCCATCCTTGGTGAAGAAATGACGAGGAAAAAGAGTCTGACGCCTCTTCATGAGCTTGTCTTTAATTAACAGAATATAATTATAATTAAAGCCAGACAAAATGACTGGATGTTAAATTAGAATTATGTCTAGCAGTGCAGGCGGCAGCTGTCTGTTTGCAGTCATTAAATGCGACCTGCACCACTTTCCGGGTCTCCCGCTTTTCTTGGCTACTTATGGGCAACTTCTTTCCTATTTTTTGCCACACACAAAAAAGGACTTTTCCTTTTATGTAGTAATACGCATCAAATACATCTGTAAAGGAAAACGGTGGCATATTAAGACGAAGAACACAGTCTGATAGAAAGGGATACATAAAATCAAAACCACTTTGACTTTCTTCTAAAACTGCATGATCACTAAATTCAACACGATTCCCTTAAAGTGGATGATCATGGGATCTAACAGAAATTAATTTTCCAATTAAAAATTCAAGTGTTAAAATGCTCCTTCATGTAAAATATGGCCTGTAGACTTTATAGTTCTTGTTATACATCTGTTCCATGTCAGTCAAACATTCTGGTCTCTCCCCTCAGATATACACCCTAAGAGCTACCCAGATTTGTAGCGTCAACCCCATCATTTTTCTTCGGAGGAGATCTGCAGCCTCAGCTTATGAGAAATGCAGTCTGCTCACCCTGGGAGAATATAAGTCATAACGTTTGTTTTGGAAATCTATTTTACCCAATATTTCTCAATGAAATAAATTGTATAAATGAAATAAAACTGACACTGCAATATTTACTAAATCACCACTGCGTGTGCAGTGCTGAACACCCTGGCTACTATTGGCTTCTCTCTCCTGTTCAGCTTAACAGGCGGCAGAGCAAAGGACAAAGCTCCTTCCAAGATGCATTTTTAAATCAATGTAAATAAGCTCATAAGACAGCCAGACTTCTGTCCTTACTGGTTATCCAGTTATCCTCGCTGTGCGTGTTATCCTTCCTTTATCCTCCTTGTAGAAACACGTATTCTCCAGCTTACCAAAGTGTATGTGCGTGTGTGTGTGTGATTGCATGTACATATGTGTGCATGTGCATGTATCATGTGTATGTATGAATATGTGTATATTATATTATATACACATTATATGTGTATGTGTTATGTATTATGTCTTTGTGTATGCCTGAATATATGTACAGAACTAGGAAAAGGAGATCCAGAGAGTAAAGAGAAATATTTTAAGTCAAGCAATTCCATATAAAGTACATAAAAGCTCAAATATTATGGTCCTAATAATATAAAATAATATAAAAAACTCTAAAATAATTGACCTTCATAGTTGAAAATAGGTCAATGGAAATGGGGTGTGGACAGAAGGAAACACATAGCAAAAAAAGTGACTTTAATATCAAGTGTACACAAACTGGAAACAAACACATTTCTAGGGTCCTATACCAGGGTGTGTTCCTCTGGGCTGAGGCCTCACATGGTCATATTTTTGAATTGACAGTGAAGGACACGAGCCCTACTTGGGCACCTCAGTCTTCCTTACACGGCTCTCGGCAGTGCACTCCAAACTTCATGTGGAGGAACTCCCCTGTTCTCCACGGAGCCCTTTCAGCTGACAGGGTGCAGGGCTGATGTGCTCATCACTACTGAGGAAGTCTGGTAAGGATGTTGCCTATTACGAAGGAAGGGGAGAAAAAGTGGGACCTGTGAGGGCTTCTTTGGCCATGGGTGGCAGTGAAGGAAAGGGTTGACCTATAAATAAAGGTATTTCTAGAAATGGTAAGTGGGTGTGCATTATTAACGACTGTAAAATACGTTTCAATATGGGGAGGAAAGTGGCCACATCTCAAGACGGAATGGAGTTAGGACCGCAGTCACTCTGTCCAAACACTGTTGAACACTCTTGTGATTTTGGAAATCACCAAATACCCCCATAAACTCAGAGGGTTTGTAGAGTTACTAAGTTCTCACAGGAATGATAATGAAGATTTGACATTTAGTGAAGATAACACTAATAATAAAATAACCACAGGGTGTTATTTTGATAATATCAAATATTTAACCCATACATGTTATATTTATCTAGCATATTATTTAAAAATATTGTGTCAATAGCTATCTTACAAAATGTAAATGCGAGTCTTGTCACCTATGGCATCTGGAAAGTGCTGTCATTTGCTCAAGATTGAGGAAACTTAACAGATTCCTGACTGACTATACCCTATCATTAAAAAAAACGTAAAAATATTTTAACATCCCACAGATAGATGAAGGTATCCACTCACACAAACGCTTGCCCAGTCCCAGACTCCATAGAGCTCAGTGAATTTCCGTATATTTAGAATGGCCATTCTGAAGCCATATTGCTTCCCTCACTATTCTCTATCTTATCCAGTAGCTGTGTTCTCTGTTAATCCATTTTGGGGCTCAAAAAAGCTTCTCTTTTCATAGTTACCTGCATCCCCAAATATCTACACAAATGTTATTTAGCCACTTGCTCTCAGACACAGATCTTACATGTGAGCTATGTGTGAAGTTACAGTTGGGACAGCAATACAGGCAGGGTTAAAGATGGCCCAAACATCCGGTGACAGGTGGTTACGGAGTTCAGACTCAGAACTCACATGCAGTTTCATTACGAAGGGTATTTGATGTATGCCCATGGACACTCAAAACATTTGCTGGGGACTCACCAAGAAGGGAAGGATGAACACCCTCTCCTCTTTGTCCTTCCCCCATCTTTCTTCCTCCCCTTCCTCCCTTCCTCTCCTCACTCCCTTCCTTCCTTCTGCTATGTAGATGGGAGATTTAGTCTAGCCGCCTGAATCTGAGGGTCTCTCATACTGCTCATAACAAGAATCAATTTTTACTGCCGTAGAAGATAATAATGGTAATAACGCCATGGAAAAAACCTACCATGACCGATAACTATAACTTATTATGTCCCTTTAAAAAATAGCTGTCGTGTATGGGGCTTTCTTCCTTCTTGAAGCGGAGTAAGGAGCTGATGCCTGGGGCCTCTGTGGCCGTCCATACACTCTCTGAGAGCTCGCACGAGCCGACCTGCCATAGATGAAGAGCTGCTTTGAGGACACAGAAGAATGAGAAAAGGGATTCAATGCTGGGAAACTGAAGAGGACAGTCACCTTCTGCCCCCTCCTTCCTGTGCCATGTGCCAGCAAAAAGCCCTGTCAATGTGGCACGCCGGTGCTTTATTGTCCCGATTCTTGGCCATTTACCGGGGTGCTCTTATCTAGTAAATCATCAGGGTTCCCAACAGGGCTGTCCCACAATCACGCTTTTGATGCTAACATTTCAAAGATCTTTGTTCACCTGAGTAACAACTGGAAATCGCCTTCCACAAATCCTGCTCTGTTCTTCTATCTGTCAGAGGGGGGCATAAGATATAAAGCCGTGTATCATCCTGGTACACAGATGTCCACGTGCTTAGCGAGCTCACCTGGTTTCTGTGTCACGTGAAAGGATGGCCCTTATAAGACAAATTATATTCCAGCCACTTTCAAATGACGTGGATTCACCAAGCACAGTTGATTTTCATATATGGAAGCCCTCCTTAAAGCATGACTGGGCAACAAAGGAGTTTAAACCTCACTCTGCTCTGTAACACACTATTACTAATAAGATTTAGATACGTTACTGGGTCCAGCAAGGAAACCTGAGTGACTTGCAGTTTCTCTAGATGAAATTTAAAAAAATCTTTAAAAGGACATGCAGCATACAAATACAATCAGATGGCATCAGGGGCTATATAAAAGTGTGGATATAGCATTGCCCATGCACCAGCCACTGACATGTGCCTGGAAAGGACTGGTTTTTCTTCTCACAGACAAGTATGCTATAGCAACTGAACATAAACAGCCACAGAGTTACAGCTGCTTGTAAAATGTCACAGACATGGGAAATTAGATAGTATTGAGGTTTTAGAAAAGAGCAGCCCTCTCTTTTTAAATCGTGGCTTGGCATTCAAGAGAAAGAATAAGGCCCTCTCATTGTTAATCATGTGTATTTCCCTAAGTATTCACACCTACAGTGTGACCCTGAAGGTTTTCCATATTCACACTGATTATTTAACACTTTCTGAAATAATTGTAAAAATGGAGGCTAGTCATATTGTCTGAAGATTGAGAAGGATGAGGTAGATGAGGTTTGGGGAATAATTAAAATTTTAGGCAGATGCTTAGATGCCCATAATTTTTTTTAAATGGGAGACTCTACAGAGCAAACTACATAAATGAATCAAGCGAGGATTTCCAGTTAAATACGGGAAGACAGTGCAATATACTTTTAGTATGTTGAATAAAATGGAGAATAACCTATATTAAAAAGCACATAACAACGTCAAGCCTTTAAGCTTCCAGCCAGAGGATCTGTAATAAAATGAAATCATTAGGCAAAGAGTGGTCACTGTGATGACAAGAAGAAAAAAATAACTCAAAATCCTCATATCTGTTATTATATTAGAACAGTTCACGTTTTCTACATAATAACACTGGGCATTAAAGAGCCATTTCCACACACCTTATTATTATTTATGAAATTACAAGTACACACGGTGTCTGATAACTCATCTCTCTGTATTAAATAGGAACATACATTGTTTTTTAAAATGCCTGCCTTTTACAAGGTGCTGGGTAACAGCTTTCCATGGCACAATCACGTGTGCATTATATAGCACGCTTTATAAGAAGTTATTAAGGGTTATGACTACAGCAACATAGTCCTAATATAAATATGAGTGAAACATTTAGGAATGGGACTCTCACTTAGGCTGTTCTCCCATAATTTGTAGCAACACAATTATCATAGAGGAAGACATACCACATTTACAGAAAAAGCCATTTCCACCAATGTCAGTAAAAAAAAAATTCTATAACATGGGTGTTTTCCTAGCAATTTCATAAAAACCCATGCTTTTATAAACAAGGGAAGAATCCACAATGCCACCTACAGTATTTTCCACAGTAATCTTGCCTTGCATGGCAGGGAAAATCAGCTTTCTTTGAAAAGCCAGGTGCATGTAAATTTCAAAACTGCAAGTAGGTGGCAGTGGAGACATTTCTGGATGATTTTTCTCGGCTGGAAATGTGAACGGAGGGGGAGAAAAAGGAACAGAGAGCCCTCCTTAAAAACAAGTTACACGCATACTAAAATAAATAATGTCTTGAAACGTAACCTTCCATAGCAGATCACCATTAAGAACTAATAAAATATTTGTCTTTAGGGACTCAAATCCTACCAATCCTTTAATGAAGTCATCCACAGAGTGGCAGGCATGTGAATTGCATGGTTGACAAAGTTAGAAGGGGGAGAGGGAGACAGAAAGGAAGAGGGAGAAGGAAAAGGAGAAGGAGGAGGGAGGGAGGGAGGGAGGGAGAGAGGGAAATAAAAAAAGAGAGAGAATTAGTTGACTTACTGTTTCCCAGAAAGCTAAAAGTAAGATTTAAGTATTTGATGTGAATGAGAAACTCTAAAACCATAGGCATAAAATACCTCAAATTAAAACTAGTAAGTTAGCGTTTTACACAGCCATTAGGACATTTCCTGTTTGAATATAAATCTGAGAGGAAGGCAAATACATTCATTAAGATTTAGTCTTTAATGAAAGGAAATCAATTGAGGCCATCAAAAATTGTGTTCAAGAGGCTATTAAACCATGTAGACATATTTAAAGTGTGTTCAACTCTAAACAAACACTGGAAACATTAGAATAAAAGCATCTGAAGTGTCTTCAAGGTTAATGAGTTGGCAGTTGGTTTTTATTCCATTTCCAAGTTTACCTGTAAAGACAGGCAGGGTCATTAAGTTGTCTTACTGGTTCAGCCTGATGGATTTGACTTGTGGACATCGTGTAAGAAACTGGAAAGTGCCCAAGAATAAACTCTGGGGGTGTGTGACAGAGACTGTGTGTATGGACGGAAAGAAACAAGTAAAGGGATTGTTGGAGGGGAGAGGGGAGGGAAGTCATGCTATTACTCATACCAAAATGGCCACATGTAAAGAAAGGAAGTCGAGCATGCAGACAAGAGTGGACCACGTTAGGCTTTTCTCTAACCAGCCTGTCTCCCTTTTGTGATTGGTTCATCATGCAGTTAACAACAAAGGCAACAGTGGTCAAGGGGTGTGAGAAGCCTGGTGGAAACAAACGCTGCATTCTTACTGTTTCTGCCTCTCTCTAGAACATTTTTTCTACTCGTCTTTTAAGATTCAAATAAAAAATCTAGCTATTCCAATATGTGCCTTTCAAAGCCCCTGTGTGGAGAAATGGACCCCTCTCTCATGTATTTTTTTAAAAAAATTCTACTATAGTAACCTTCATAATCTAGTATTAGAATTACCGTGTTTGGGTCTGGATGATGAGGCTTGGTTCTGGAAGTCCCAGGAAGGCAGCTGTCATCCTTGACAATTTTGGATGCCAAGGTTTCCAAGGAGAGAAAGCTGCTTGTTCAAGGACCTGAGTTAGTTGGGGGAGGGGGGCGCACTTAAAATCATCTCTCAAAGTGTGACGTTTCAATGCTGCAGACAGTGGAAATTCTGTTTTGCTGACCAAGAGAGTAGTGGCCCAGACATGCCTTATAAGAAGGAACATCCTGCTGTATCCTCTGGGTACAGGACACGCAGGTGGAAGAATGATCAGGGAACTAGCATCCTAGAGGCAGTAGGGGGCGTTTTACAGCCGAGGAGCCGGGTAGAGAAGAGGAAGTGTTTACTGGCTGGGCGAGGGGTGGAGCCTATAGGAAACGTAGTCTTTGTATTGGTGACCTTTAAAGTGTGCGGCGGACTTATGTAAACATGTCAGGTGGGGTAGAAGAGATAGTGCCGCGTGGGCTCCGGAGATAAAGCCCCAAAATGAAGGTTATCCTGAACCCAGACTTCTAAACTAAGTGGATAAAAATTTCTTCTCTTTCCCGTCCTTCTCTTGTTTGCTCTGGAGACAGAGTCTGGCGATGTAGCCCAGGCTGGTGGAACTCTTCATTCATCTTGCCCCAGCCTGCAGAATGCTAGGATTGCAGGCGAGTGCCAGGTTACCATACACACAGTGAAAAACGAGTGGGAAAGTTCCATAGGACGTCCCCAGACAGAGAAAAGTCTGCGAGCCATTGTTCCTCCAGAAAAGCATCAGCTCAATTTCATTATTCGCCATAAAGTGTGCAAAACTGAGTCCCAGGCTATGACACCACAACCAGGAATCAGCATGGGCTTTCTTGTTTTCAAGAACTTGAGATTTCTAATTGCCTCAAATGCTTATCACAGATACTAGAGACATCTAAAGATATTAGCGTGTCACTCCCTAGCAAGAACACGGGGAGAGGAGGCAAGGTGCCTAGACTTTCACCGTGGTGGATCAGAGACACCCACATACTTGCTGGACAGCCCCCCAGTCAGGTCACCAGGACACCCTCATGAAGAACGAGTCATTGGTGAAGCCTCACCCCAAACCAGCACTTTCCCAAGAGTTTAAAGGGATCATAAACGTGGCTAAAGATATACATTAGAACAGGGCCAGATTATATTTTTCAGAATAACAGAAAACGCCAACAGCACAACTTCAGAATAAAAAAAGCATTCTTTTGGGGGCCTAGCAACCCAATTTTGGATTACTTTAATTTCTGAAATTCTAACATTTACTGTATTGAGCAATGGTGGTATTATATTTTTGGCTTATTTTATTATAAAGTATTATAGTACATTTTTGTTTGATGAGTAAAGATTGGACCAATGAAAAGGAACAAAGTGCATTACAATCTCACTGCTGGAAGGTTTGAGTTTTCTTTTCCTTTGAACACTTAAAATTTCTTACCCTGTTAAAAAGCCCATAAAACAGATTTTGTGAACATATGTTTTATGAGTCAATGTCAAAGTAAGAGTGGTAAATCTGTCAATCACAGACGTAATCCTTAGAATCAACATTTAATTATTTGGCTGTGGAGCTCTCCTGCCTTCCGGCCCCTCCTCCGTTCCCATGTTAGATACTTCACTGCATATATGTACTTTAGAAAAGTGGGCAGAAAAGAAACAGAAGGAATAAAACGCAGAATCAAAGATCGAAATACTTCTGATATCACTTTGAAATCTGCCAGAGGCTGGTTAGAAGTCAAAGCTAAAAGATAATCAAGATTTGGTACAACTTTAGAATAGGTTTCATTTCTAAAGAATATTCCCTGTGCTTTTTTCCTTAATGCCTACAGAAACTTTTTTTTTGTAAATTAATTGTGGCTAAGATGTTCTAAAATAATGCAGGTAATTGAAAAAATATTTTTTGTAATCTTCAGAGATCTACTGATTTAAAACATTTAAATTGTATCCAGTATTGACTTTTAGACCGGTTTGTCAGCAAAAAGCTTTTACTAGCTGCCAGCAGGTGGCGCTATTCACAAACAGGGTGCGAGGCATATTGAAAGGACTGAATATATCCAA